GCAATATTAAACTGTTGAAGTATTTCTGTATCAGCTTCACAGCTTGTTAAAGTAAACTTTAATGAGCTGAAAAATAATGCAGTCTGACTTCCCAAACAAACTACATGGGAACTTACAGCAAATCAACTATTTATTTTGGGATTCTTTTAATGGACTTGGAACTGTTGTTTTGACCAATATACTCATTTAATATATTGACATTTGGGCTTGATCTTTGCCAAATGTAACTTTTGGGTGGATATGGCACAGCATCTACAGCAGGAAGGAAACCTATGGAAATTGTTGGAACTTAGACCAAGTTATTGAAGAGATAAAGGAGTGTGATTCTATCATTACCCTGGGTGAGTTCAGATATTTGCTGTTCAAATTACTCAACAACAGGCTTTCCAAGCTACATCACATCTTGAGTAACACTGAATATTTTACTGTTCACTTCACATTAATCATGTCAAAGTCTTGTTCCCACTTCCTTTGAGTCTATCCAATTCACACTTGTAATCCAAATATTAAAATTGTTAAATACCTCTTCTCTCCTTATATGCCATCTGTATCTCATCTGATGTTAGCAGTCATTCCTTTATTGGTTTTGTCCATAAATACAGACCTTTAAAATTATTAGTCAGCTTCAGAGCATAGATCTTGGTAGTCCTACAGGGCTCATTCCTCTGTAATGGTATAGCATAAAGCAAAATGGTTAATCAAGGCCCTAAGACTAATTTCATCATGTTTACACAATTTGTCGTATAGTGAAATTTTGAGGTTTTGCGGTTGATGTGTATTCCACTTCCCATGTAAGCCAGTCTTGTTCTTTATGATCAGACCTTAATGAATAATGACTCACTCGAGTCTGTGAACTCTTCTGGGAGTTTTCCTCATCTTAATAATGAAGGCCTTCACTGCAGGACAGGGGATAGTAGAAATACAAAGAACTGGACACAAACCTAAATTATTTTGGTTTTTTACCCTTTGAATAGTACTGGTTTATAGCAAAGAAATGTGAGATGAAGTCACTGGCGTTACTTTACTGGGCCTCCCTCGTTGTGTTAACTCTCATTAAAAAACCCTTCCAGACTTGCTTTTCCTAAAAATGGGTAACCCAGTACTGCCAAGATTTATGTAGGGTAATTCAGCTATTCAGTCTGAGATTTCTCTAAGAATGGCAAGCTTTGGCCAACATCCATTTTCAATTGCAACAATAACAAAAAATTTGTGTCATGGCGTTTCAGGACAAATTAATTTTTGTAGCATAAATATACACGAAAAAATATTAATGGAAATCAGGAAACATTCAGTTTCCAAGCATCTCATCTACAGCACAGTATAAGCCACTAAGCTGAAATGTGCCAGCTAATCATTCCTTTTTCATTATAAAAAATTGCAAATGCTATAAAAGCATGTGAACAAAAGACAATGGTTCCAAGTATGTAGCAGAAAATCCTTAAATATAATAGTTTTTGTAGACTGGATTGCCTGAAGCAATTGAGAAGTTGCTATGTAGCCAGCTAAAATGTTCTGCACCTCTGCTGAAACCCGAGTGGAAATCTGGGTCTTCTGTGCCCTAAGTTGCAGGCGTTGGAGGTGCTGTACATCCCAACAGCTGGAATGAAGCTGACTTCTCCAGCTGACCCAAGAATACAGTTGGCTTCTTTCAGAGGCAGCTGCATGCAGCCCGTAGCCAAATGAATGGGTCATCACGACGAGGGGCCTCTGAGAGGAGAGGGATATGGAAAAAAAAGAAGAGAATTGCCAAAGTGCCTCCCCCAGCAAAGCAGGCTGCTGTAGAAAGTAATGTTAAGTGAAGTTCATTTGGTATAGTCACATTAAAAAAATCCAGCAGAAAACACTCAAAGTCTTAGAAATTTTGATAAAAATAGAAATGTTTAGAAATGTTGATATACTCTTCTCCTGAAGATTAAAGAAATTATTTTTAAAAGGGTCAGGGGCTTTACTTGTAATAAAATAGTGAATTCCAAGTAGAATGGTGCATTGTTAAAAATATGCACATAAAATTTTCAATGTTTAGGGTGTTAATGGGTTGTGGTTTTAATTTTCACTCACTTAATGGTCTCTTTTGGATTTTTTTTCTATAAGTCCTAAGTTTGTAAGGATGGCAAATATTCCCTGATATATTCAACACTTCATAAGTAAGGAAGGTTGTAAGAGCTGTGATAATGTCTCTGGAGATGCATATGAGCTGCAGCACTAGGAGGAAAGGCAAAGATGGCTCTATAGTACCTCTGCCTTTCACTTCCTTCTGAGGCTGTCAACTATTAAACAATAGACTGTGTAGGCCACTGAGAGGTGGGGATCTGGTCATTTCAACAGCACCTTTTCAGATCTTTGTATCACTTTGCACTGACCATATTTCCTTCCAGAAGAATTCTTCACTGCTTAATCTGTTTGAGAGCTGCTTTGCATTGCTGGACCCAGCTTTAATGGATGGAGTCAATCTAGATGCCTTTGTTCTAAGCAACTATGCAGGAGATAGCTCATAAAGGAATATTTACAAGCTAATTTTAGTACCATGGGATCTTGAATTTACTGCTACTAGAAAAGTCAGTGTCAGATGTTTTCAGCTGACAATCTTAAAATTACTCACTGTGTATCTATAAACTGAGATTGGAAAGACAAGATTATGTTTCATAAACATTCGAAATAGGTGTGTCTTCATTGCTGTCAATGAGGATAATCTGCTTGCATTGATGTATTTGATGCTGTAACTTTGTTGACATTACATTTGCACGCACTTTAGGAACTTGAAACAGCAGGGAAATAAGACATTTATGTATTAGACTGCTTTTGTTCCCTTCTATGCTCAAAGTAGACCTATGGTTGCCCTAGACCTGGATGTTGCTCTCCATGTAACAGTACACTAAATTCCTTTGGCTCATGCCCCGCAGTCACTTGGAGGGCTGTTGCAGAAGATAGAAAAATGGTACAGCCAAACATTCTTCTCTCATTCTCAGGTTGCTACAATCCTGGGAAGCACAGCCAGCCCTGTAGTTAGAAAGTTCAAGAGATATGGAAGCTCTAACAATCTAAGCTGATTTTAATACAGACTCTAGGACACTGAACAGATGTACAGACCATTAAGCTTGACTTTACTGGGCAAGCTGTGAACAACTTTGGAAAAAAAACTAACTGGTAGGCACATGTTGGGCAGAGGGAGTAGTGCTGCTCCTCAGATATCTCACAAGCCTATTAAGGAGTTCCTTGAAGGATTCAATGAGCATGAAGAGAACAAGGGAAATCTATTTTATACTGCTGGAGCTAAAGCGCTAAGCTAAACCCTATGTTTTTATCAGTTTTTATCAGTGTTACTCTAGAAATATACCTTTCATGACCAGCATGGCAAGAGGTTTCAGAAATTATAAGGAATTTTTAGAGCTGTGTCCTACTATCTTAAGTGGTGGAATCTCTTGAATTACTAAAATGTTAATTCCTACAATGGTGCTAAAATGGATTGGGTGTAAATGCAGTGCTTCTTGCATGCAGAGCCATGGAACTGAGAAGCTGATCAGAACAGATACTGGAGGTTTGGCCTGTAAGTGAGCAGTGTTGAAATTCTGTGTGGTATAACATAATGCACGTCATCCTCAGATCCCACACATGTGCTCTATTTAGTGACCTCACCACGGCCTTGCGTAACACTGCCTCTTAAGTCTTAGGAGTATTTATTTTTATGATATCTTGCATAGGGAATGCATGAAATTTTTTCAATAGTTTTCATTAGCACATGGAACTGCCAAGATTGGATTCTAGGTTTGAACACCGACAGATGGATTTAATTTTTTCATTCAGATGAAACAACAAGCTGTCATCATTTATTGTCTGCTTGATTAATGTGCTTTGGTGTTGTCTTGATAACTTGAAGCAGTGGCTTTTCCTTTTATAATAACACATTTTGTAATATATTTCCTTTTTGTCTGAGATACGCACTTGGCTCTGGTCACTGGTGCAAATGACACAGTAAACTCAGCAGCACAGGAAGATCCCAATTCTGTTATCAGTAGCATGCCAATACTGGAACTTTAGAAAACAAAACAAGGTACTGAAAGACAGGGACAGAGTTTAGTACAGAGTTAGTTATGATACATTAATTTCTTACAAGAAAAGTGCCAACATATAGAAATATAAACGAGAAATGTCTTTTCTAAATCAGTTTCTTAAAGATGGAGGTACATAGGCACATAGGCCTATATAGAGAGGGCAGAACTTTGCAGAGGCTAGAAAACCAAATCCTGGCCATTGCCATCAGACCATCCATATGTTGGAACAACTGAAGTATTGTGTGTTACCTTGATTGCTTGAATCTACTGTGTTAGTTTTCACAGTCTTCAAAAAATTCAAGCATTTTTTTGTTTCTTACTCCATCCTCTTTTCAATGAATTCTTTTAAAATGAGCAAAAGCAGCTCAGCCTGCCTACTTTAGAGAGCCTTTTGCACTCAAGACTTTGACACTATAATTTTGTTGGCCAGGTCCCTGGCAGCTACTTCAGGCATTGGTTTTAAACCAGTTGCCTGGAAAAAGTAAGCCATATTCAAAGAAAAGAGAAGTTTTTGGTGATGTAAAGGTTTCTATGTTATATTTTTTTTTGCCAACACAGTCACAATAGAATAGAATGCAAGTACTTTTGTATTCTTAATCAATGCATGCATGCAGAGCAAAGCCAATATTGTCACCAGACACGTGTGAGGTTAAAAGAGGAATGACGTGATCCAACTGCCTCAAGTAGACTGAGGTGTGTTATGTGACAATTCTGACAATGGAAGCTGTATCAAGTTGCTTATCTGCTGTAAATATGAAAAAATGAAAAAGACTGTAGCATTGATTCTGCCCAAAGCAAACTTGCGAACAGAAAAACTATACTGCATGTTCAGTTGCATAACCACTAGAAAAATGCAGTTTCAGATCAGCTGAAATTCATGCTGCATTTGGCAAAAAATTTAGTCATGAAACTGAAACTTCAAAAATAATTTTTGAAAGAAATAAGACATTATGGTGTTCTTGAAATACAAAATTTTTATTTAACATTAGGAAATTAAAAGAAGGCTGAGTTTCAGCTTGAGCAAGCTTCTTTTGCTGGAACCTCAAGTATTGTTCTTCTGTAGAAAAGACAAAAGGATAGATTTTTAAATGTAAAGGAGTTTGATTCTCTTCAGTTCATTAATATCCATCTCCAAAGCAAATAATTTCAAAAATTGTACTAAAGCTTTTAGATTTCATGCCAGTTAAACTGGCTTATGTGCCCAGTTTCATAGAGATAAGAGTTTCAAAGAAAGACACTTTATTCAGAGGCAGAAATTACTTTTACAAGTAAGGGAAGCACAGTGTACAGGATCAAAGAAGGAGCAGGACTCATTCTGGGGTATGTTGGTGGAGCACATTCTCTTCTGTTCAATCTTCTGTGGTATTTTTCTAAACATCCTGTTGCAACACCAGTGGTCTGAGAAGTCAGCAGTAAAATCATGTGGCAACCGCACCAGTATTGCTAAAGTTAGACAAAAATTTCCACTTTCCATTAGGTGAAAATACAGTCTGCTGTCTGTTTTGCATTAGAGAACTAGTTCCCACCTCTTACCCTGGAACTTCAGAATTATTTGAATTTATTTCTGGCAGATAGGGGTGAAGAAATCACACCACTATGAATAGTTTTATGTGATATACTACTTTCTAAATTCGACAGCATCTCATTTCTCTTCTGAATGTGTAAAATGGCAGCTATGTGTTACCTTTCCCAACAAGCAAACAGGAAGAATGTGGTAGATTTTTCATATAAACACTTCCTTTAAATGTTGGTATTACTAAGTTTGATCAGTCACAATTAACATTCTTAATGACAGCATTAGAATTTTACTAAAATGGTGTCCCTCAAGAAAAGGAGTAACAGTTGAGGAACTACGTTGAGTCCTTCAGTACCTTGGTAGGTGACCTCATATTCTGGTATCAGTAGATCAGGAGTTTAACTGCCACGTATTTTGATCTTAGTGAGAAAGCTTTCCTGTTGTAATTGTGCTGCAATCATCATTAACTGTTGTGTCCCAGAATACTCTGAGACACAAGTTAATGGCACTTGGGAGTGTATTAACTGCATTGTAGTATGTGATGAGAAATTAATAGGAAGTTTCCCTCCCTCCCTTCTTCTTTTGGCACTTTTGAAGGTGGGGTAGGTAGGAAGGATTTTCATATTGCATCACATTTTGTACAAGTATGCTATAACCATCATTTATGCAGGCTGAGTTTTAGAGCATTCAGGCAAAGTACTGAAATACAGGGCAAGGTAAGAACAGATCCTTGTAATACTCTGCTGTTGGGCCTGAAGAACACTATGTCAAAAACCAGATGGACTAAAAAATTCCAAGAAGCAGTAGCAAAGGATTTAAATCAGGTAAGATTAGAAGTGCTTTGGGAGGTTGTGCTGTAGATTCCAAGTTGGCATCTCTTTTCAATCTCAATGTATCTTTACCCCATGCACTGACATGACCCTTTATTCAACCTCAGCTTGGATGACATTTCTGCTACCTTCCAGGAAAGGAATTGTTTTTTGCAGCAGCTCCCTCTCTTATTCATTTTGAGAAAAGGATTAAATACTCCCTCTGACCAAGCTTACAGGCATGCTAAAGTGAAGCCACTTCATGCTCCTGGCCAAACAAAGAACAAAAATACCCACAATAAGCAAAAGCAGATGGCTTCCGTGGCAGGAAATGAATGAGCCAGACTGCAGGTAAAATGGTTCTCTGAACACATCGTGGAGGTTTGCACTGACAGGTTCTTTGTTATTTGGGGCCTCCCCACAGGAGGCCAGATGTCTCCCGTTGTGAGAGGAGATAGAGATGCTCTTCCTTTTCCTCCCCCTTTAACTTATGGCTGTTTAAGTTACTGCTAATGGAAGCAGAAGCCTGTTTTTCTCTCTTGGTCTCTGATGTTTTTGGAAACAGAAGAGATAGTGAAGGGGTATTCTGATATGAAATAAAAGGCCCAGAACTGGCCTTTACCTCCCCATGACCCTCAATTTAAAAAACAGGGAGGTCAGTGCTGCTAATTGCACTTGAAAGGATTAACTACTCGATTGCTTTCATTTAGTGGAACAAAATTTTTCTTTAGTCTCAAAGCTGGGGAAAGGTATCAGATGTACTAAGATGCTTTCAGTGTGAGACAGATGACTTGGTTTGGCTTCTTATACCAACATCAAAATTAAATAGAGGATGTAAATATTTTTATATATATGAGAGAATGGGCAACTACATCTGCTGCTCAGACAGGACAGATTTGCAGCAGAAGTGATAAAAACCTCCTTCCTGCCCCCATAAAAGGTTATCAGAGGAATAGCAACAGAGCGTAACGAATTACAGATATTAGGTGTGCCTCTGTCCCTTGGTATAACAAATGACTCTTGCATTACACTGAGGTTGCATTGGAAGAAAAAGAATCTGAGCCCAATTCCTGGATACAGTATGCCAGATTTAAAATCCTTTCTGTACATTAATTTCATCTGAGAGTTAAAACTAATTTTCTTTTGGAAAGGATGCTTAATTCCCTTTGTTCAAATAAAGTGAGATACACAAAACTTAAATTGGGAAACAATTTTTCACCTTATGAAACTATTTTCCAAAAGTAACGAAGAACAGCTTATACAAGCTTTTATCTGACCTCTGCTTCTTAAATAAAAAACATGTTTTCAGAGAAATGTGTCTTGGAAGTAACTACCCATCTCCCCCCAGATTCTTCTCTCTGGTTCTTGTAAAACATTAGGTCAGTGGGTTAATTTTATTTTTGTTTGTTTAAAGTGGGTGAAAGTTTCCTTCTCAAGACATTATACTTGTGTGATTAAAAAAAAAAATACAACAATCTTTGTTTAAGAAATACAAGAAGTGATGGAAATGTCAAAAAACTATCAAAATTCATACCAAAGGAAATAATAATAATCATTTTAAAAAGCCAAAATAACCTCTCAATAGCAATAAGAACCAAATGAGTAGGCAGTGTTGTTTCACTAGCACTGAGACATGACTGCTGATTTTTCTCTTTGCTTGGCACATAAACTCAATATATAGGTAGATATAAAAATGATTTTTCTCATTATGACTTCAAGCCTGTGTTTCCTGTGGTGCTATTATAGTTCATGCATATTTCATAACTTCATAACATATCCAGGATTTTGTTCTGCAAATGGGGATGTTTTTGTTGTCCACTGAAATGCCTTTTTATATACACTTGTGTAGATAAGCATACCAATATGATATGATGTAAGAGAGTGTCTTTGTATCTTCTGTTTGAAGCAATAGTAAGATTTCACTATCTTGAAGCATTGAAAATGCAGTACAAACCAGCCATTTCAGCCTGTATGGACTGCTGTGTTAAGTATAAAAACATTTTCTTGAAGTATGTTCCAAGACATTATTTCTATGTTCATCAGGGTGTGTGAAGTGCCGTCCTAGAGAGTATGCTACAAGCGATAACAAAAACTTGAATGCTTTGTTTAAAAATAATCTATTATAATTTTTCAGTCTGTCACTTTGACAAGATGTATTTTGTCTAAAATAACACATTTCTAAAAATATTCAGAAATATTTATCCATCTTATATTGTACCTGTAATGAAACATTTTTTCTATTTTAGGAATATAACTTTTATCAATGTATAATCTAAAATATATTCCTATAACTCTGCTCTAAAGCTCAGGTCTATTACCTCTGTTTGGCCAGCACTGGCTGTGCTGGTACAGCTTGGCTACATCCACATGTGATGACTCTGACAGCAGCACTAGACCTATGACAAAACTCCCATCAGCACAAAGTCTTACTGACACTGTTCTAATCTGCCCTGTTACTGCAAAAGGAAAAACAGCAGATTCACAGCCTGCCTAGTTTAAGGAAGCCTTGTCAGAAATGTTGTGGTTGGAACCACCATCTTTTATATGCGGTGACTACAATATGCCATAGTGACATTTGTTAGGTTAGTGCTCCCCCAAATAATGATAATATATAATAGTAAGGAACATGTAACTAAATTTGTTTGAAGAAGTCTAAAATTACCCAGAGAGTTGAGAATAATCCTAATATAAGAGTACATGAATGGTACTACAGAAATCATACATTGTATAACAGTGTTTAAAGAGACCACTTTTTTATTACTAGAAGAATTTTCCATATTTAATCTTGAAAGTATATAATTCATATTCAATTAATGTGCTCTTTCATTCTGTATTGCTGCTACTCTCCCCAGTAACTAAACACCACCTGCTCATTTCAGTAAGCCTTTGATGCCATGAAGGCAAAATCAGTATTGCTGTGTAAACCACAAAGAAAACATCTGACATAAGTATTAGTAATGAGAATGAGAAGCCAGCATGCTAATTCCTTCTTACACTTAAGACAGATCACTCCTTACAGCAAGAGGGGTCAAGTCCTCCACTCCCATCTCAGGAAATGTGCTCATCACAGTAAGCACACCAGGCCTGTAGGTTGAAGTACAGCAATATTTAGCAAAATCTAACTATTTTCAAATAAGTCACTCTAATCAGACTGCTCATCTGAGCAGTTCTACAACCTCAAGCGTGCAGGAGGAGGTCTGCAGCTCACTTCTGGACATTATTTAGAATACAATATATTTCCAAAAAAAAAAATCCTGACAGACACTGACAGACAGCTTACTCTTTTCCTGCACAACACTTTGCATCTTTAATCAATGTATACATAAATGAAAAGAAAAACAGCAGATTATCATATTGTCCTCTGTAGCTCTCTTTCAAAATTTCCTGATGATAGTCCACAAGGAAATAATAAATTGCCTCAATTGTGGAAAGGTATGTATCTGGTTTTCCCTTCTGGTGACGCCAAAAGCAAGTTTTCCTTGTCTTCAACTCAATTTGCAGTAACCCTGTCAAGGAAAAAAGATTATCTAGATTAGACAATGTGGATTAGTGGCCAGAATGTCAAACAAGACTTCAGTTTTGTTTTCTGACTTTGCTGCTACCCTGTCCAGTGCCTGCATGAAAATAATTTCTCTTCCTGTACCTCCATTTTTTATCTGTCAAACTGAGGCAATAATTTTATCCTTTTTGGAGCATTTTGGCATTTGATGAAGTGCTGTAAGTCCTACGTTATAAGCTTCATATGGGCAGTTAATTACAGTTGTCCTTTCATTCAAACAGCCACACAGCCCTCAGTAAACTGCAGTCACTCCACATGTCAAGAGTGAAACCCACTCCTACCAAGACTCATCAATGTTCATAAAATCATTATTTCATCTTTTGAAAAGTTAATACTTTTCAAGTGTAAAACAGAATCCCTCAGACTGTTAGTGTTGCTGAAGTGAGGACTATTTGCAAGAGCCAGGAACTTTTCATTTATGCTTGTTAAGTAACTGAAATTTATTGAAATTTCTCAGGAGTAAGTATGACAGCATCTTGTAATTAACTTTATTACATACTAAAAGCATTTCCACTTAAGATGAAAGAGGGAATTTGGTGTCTCTATGGCACAAGAAAATCTTTAATTGACTCATAGTCTCTGTAACTATTCTATTATTCAGATGAATTTTAAACATGTATCTTGGTTTTTATGTTGCCTAAGATGCATAAACTATTCAAAACTAAAACCAACTCAATGTGTTACCACTTTGTAAACAGGATGGGCAGTTGGATCATGAAAAACAAGATACACACCTGTCATTATCAGAAGCAGATTGTAAAGTTATCTTTTTCTATAACAATCTGATACTCTGTCTCATGGAACAGTTTAATACAGGTAACAGTACAAAAACCAGTATGGTCGAAGAATTGATTGGAAGTTACGGACAGGGAGGTTTCCAAATTCAGGTGAGGTCCAAATTCAGGCTAGAGCCCAGAACTTGTAATGCTACACTTTTAGCCTATAAACTGTGTTTTATTATTTTCAGTGTTATTGCAAGAGGGATTTAGGTTGCTCTGTAGTTAGTAATGTATCGTATCCTGCACTGTAGAAGAAATCTCAATTACAGCATTAAAAATAACGAAACTGAACAGGAGAGCCTGCCCCTGAATTTAAATGTTATTATTGGCATTTCAGAACCAAACCTCAAAATAGCATACATAGTCTAATTATTACCTCTAATAATCCTACACATGTGAATTTTAAAATAGCAGTAGGAAACTGCATTAAGCTTGTTGCCCTTGAGATTTTTCAAAAGTTGAATTCTCAGCCCTAACCAAAGTGAAAACTTCCATCAAATCCAGCAGTGCTTTCACTCTAATAGTAGTGAAGTAAATCTCAGGGATGATTCCTCCAACATAAACTCCCAAGTAGTTGTGGTTTGAATACAAACAAAAATTCACTGAAGGCAAGACCATGGACACTACTGAGCTTACCACAAATGCAGCATTGCTTACTTTCAAACAAAAGACTTTAGGACCTTCCACAAAAATAAAATAAAACCAGAGGGGGTTAAGGATTAAAGTTTACTGAGCATGTTTGATCTTTACTGGATCTATACAGCCAAAGGCAATGTTTTCTTACAAATAGACACTGTTCATATGAAACCCCACAATACTAATGTATAAGCTAATAAAATATTTGGCTGATACAAAGCAGTTCAAACTTACAGGGAAGAAAACCCAAAGCAATCAGTTTCTTTAACAGTCATGGTGATATTTCTAATAAGCTCCATCACTCATGTGCGAAAGTCATCATCAACATTAGATTCAACTGGTTTTTTCTGATCTAGGGATCACTTTTAATGAAGTAATCAATCCTAGACATTACCCTGTTTTTTTCTGATCTAGGGATCACTTTTAATGAAGTAATCAATCCTAGACATTACCCTGTTTTTTTCTGATCTAGAGATCACTTTTAATGAAGTAATCAATCCTAGACATTACCAACTCTCATGTATTTCTTGTCTTTAACCTATTTAGTTTTGTTTCCTAAAGATATATTAAGCACTTTTCCAAGATATAGAAGTATTTTTTGTCCATGTTCTCTCAGCTTATTTTAAGATCAATGTACTCATTTGCTTTCTCTTGCAGCACAATTTACTAGATTTACTATCTATATAAATATAGGCTTATAAAACACAAGGTTTTTCTTTAAGTTTTCTTGGCTTCATTAATGTTTTCATTCAATATTTCTTGTAACTTAATCTTCATAAGTATGGCAATTACTTTTTATTTGGAATTATGAACACTCCTTTTTGAACTTTAGCATATGATGAATATTTTGTTGGATGATGACTTCATTTGCAATTTAACTGAAAAATGAAAACAGTTCTCTATTTTTCGTGTATGTACAACATAAAAATGTCATCAGTTTATGCCTAAGGAAACTCTGCCTCATTCATCTTGGAAGTGAAAACTGCAATCTCTAAAAGGGGTATTAATGCAATTTATGTTCTTTATGACAAGCACTAAGGAAAGCAATGCATGCACAGGCTGTTACACCCAATGTGTGGATGGGTAAAATTCTCCCTTACTAGAAACTGACTTGCAGGACACTATTAAACATCACATAATTCTGAAAGGTGCTCAGGAACTCAGGGAGCTGCAAAACAGCTGTAACCGAGTAGTTCTAGAAAGGAGAGAGTAGTCCACCAAATCAGCATTGTCACAGGGAAACTGGACACCACTCAAGAACTCTAAAGTAACACCAATTAAGACTTTTTGACTAATATATGCATAGGCTTCCATGGGAATTTTCAGCTCCCCTGGCTGCCTGTTATTTTCCTTGAATTCATTATCTTAAAATAAGTTTCAAATGCCTTACATTAATGTGCAGCATGCAATTCCTCTAATCTTTACAGTAATACTTCAATGTAGCTGATAAGAGTATGTTTTGTGTTAAACTAAATACTTGTAACAGGATTTTAATTAGCCAATACATCATACTAACATGTGGAATTCTTTAATAAACTGACTAGACAGCAAGACAACATTCATCTCCTATGTAAGAAAGTCCATGGAATTCTTTGTAGGATCCAGTGTGAAGCAGTAGTAGTATATATTTGTGTGTGTATATATATATATATATATATATATAGATAGATAGATAGATAGATAGATAGATATAGTATATAAACTTGACAACCTGCCTCCCAGCTAAGTGCACTTTTTGCACTAATGAAAGTATTTTCAAACTCCTATTCATCTCAAAGGAAATGGAATGCTGTTGCTAAATTGTTTTGTCTTTTGTGGTTTTAATTAGAATGCTTAAATGTAAACTTCTTGTAAAGAACCTAAGACAAAAACTTTTTGCAGAATTACCAGTTTCTGCTCTCAGAGTTGGAAGGATGTGGAGGGCAAGCAGCCATTCCCTTTTTATCTGGAGTAGTGAGATCTTGGAAATGTTCATTAACAACTCCAGGAAAAAGAGAACCCAAGCCATGAGAAACCTGTGCTGAACCTCCTAAATCCCTCATTTACCTTCTTGGGGCCTGTCTGCCACCAACATGTACACAAATGGTCCTGTGGGTCTCTGGAAAGCAGGCAGCCACCTGCAAAAAAAATCTTCCTGGCTTCCTTCAGAGGCCATTCAAACTACTGTTGTACTTTCTAACATGCCACCTCCCATTCTCTGAGACTGAGGAAATTTTCTCCAATAGAGAAGTGAGACAAATAAATGTAAATGCTCTCTTAGTACTAGTATTACCTTTTTGCAAAATAATTTATATTACATAAAAAGCAATGGAGTCTTTGGCTCAGGAAGTATTTTACAGCCCTGGAACAGGCTGCTGAATCCTTGATATACACTCAGAGATAGGGGTACATACAAGCTTACATTGTATTCAGGTCTGTTATAGACATATGTCCCTTAATCATTTCTGCAGCAATAATGTCTTAGTATCAACTTGTACTTTTTTACCTTGAAGTCGTTCATCAGTTATTATCTTGTTAGTTTGATTCCAGGTACTATCAATAAATATTATTTTCTTCAGTCTAGTGCCTTCACTCCTGCTGCTTGAGATGCATTCATTTGGAATTTTTTCTTCTTCAGGCTCTATTTTTGCTTGTTTAAGAAGTGGCTCTCTGGAACAGTCATCATCACTAGAACAGACACCTTTCTTGGTGTACTTTTGGAGATGAAAAGCAATATCTTTTACTGAAACTGAATTGGGGCCAGGAAATATAAGTGCTATCTGAATGAAGAAAACAAAGAGATCTGAGTGTCAATAAAATCTAACAAAACAACAAGAATTTTTGTATTAAAAGACAGAAATTTTCTACCCTGTCTATAAACATTTAAGTCAGGACAAGATGAAATAATATCTCTTAAAGATGTTCTATTGTCTAATCCAGTGTTAAATCTGTGTTAAAAACATGGTAATGAATTGAGAGCCTTACTAGAGATTTTTAATTAATGTTACTTCCATGCCTCTACTACCAACTCTAACACTTCTGTAGAAAAAGATTTTTCAGCCAAGACAAAGGTGTCAGCTCTGAGGATGTTCAAATATCATTTGTCACTACTGTATATGGGGCAGGAGGGCCAAAAATAGCTTACCATTTAAATTAATATATACATCCAAGTCCATATCAGCACAACATTCAACTGCTGTTTAACTTGCTCCAAGTTGAATACTTTCATTTATAGGCAAAATATTTCTTCAGATACACAGTAAATCCAATTCTCCATTATGTGAGGTAATGAACATAGCAAATTCAAGGTGGTTAAATTGTGCTGCAGTCTTTCTCAGCTTTGGAGAAAAGGCTGCAGACCAGAACTGTGTGTTTGCAGAGCTAAGCTTTGAGAGAGCACAGAATGGACTGCACTAATGGAACATTGGTTTCCTCCCTGCAGGGCACTACCACTGCAGGAGGAAACTGCACCTCCCCAGCATAAAGCCTGGCTATCTCTAGAGAATCTCTTACTTCATGTCTCTTCTTGTCATATTCTGGAATGCAAGGGTATTTATAGATTGTAACATCATCAGGTGCCAGGAGCTTAGCATGCACAGCAGTGCTTTTGCCGTCGGTTTCGTTTGGGTGTTTAATAATGTCAATCTTCAGAGGTAACTAGAGTAGAAGAAGAAAAAAGCAATATTTATCATCATATTTATAAATATCTGTAAAAAAACCTATTCAAAATTTGGAAGAAATTCCTATGGGTATGTAACTAAAATATACCTGATAATTTTTGATAGGTTTAGAACTAGAGACAAGTTAGAAGAAGCACCTATTACATTAAGTTCATGCAAATAGCTAAGTAAGCAATGATGCACTTTGGAATGCTACCAGCAATAGTTTGGTAAAATCTCCAGAAATAGAATATAAGCTGGATGTGGTCTTAATTTGAGCAATATAATACTTCTAAATATGAATACTTATCTCTACTAGGTATTCAGCCAACTGTGAAAATTACTATTTCAATGAAAATATACCTAAGTTTACAAAGTCAAATTTCAAAAGTACTGCTAAAGTATTTTTATGATGCTTTCAAACTCCAGTGTCTTCAAAATGCATCTTTGATCCAAACTGACTTTGCAAAATGTCTCAGTCCTCTCTGGTAGTTTCCCCAAGTAACTCAGCTGAAAGGCATTACACTACTTATATTTTAAGAGTAGTTATCTGAATTATTGAATCATGGAATGTCTATAGAAATGTCTTTTAGGTCACATTTTATGTAAAATTCACCCTTGGTTTTGGACAAATTTTTTGGTCACAATATAACATGTTCTGGCCAGAGTTATTAGAAACTGAAGAATGTGCAAGAGCACCATAAAGAAACTTTCAACAACTAAGTGAAAACACAATTGCATGAGAAGCTGAGTGACTTCAGCCTATATTCTCATCTAGAAGATCCATAAATGTTTATGTGAGGATTGGAACATTTTCAGTGTTTGTACATGTAATTCCTCAAGTAAGAACAGTAACTTTATTTAACTGTAGTTTATTCCTACTTATAGCTGTGTTCAAAATGAATGTCTGTAAAGAATGAAAATAAACAGCTGCAGACAAGACTATTGTCTGTCCACAGTAACTAAAACCTAAAAGATATTCAAAAAAATCATTAAGAAATATTAACCTTCACAGTTGGAATGTCTTTGGTAGGGACAGTTTCAACAGGAACAAAGCATGTGTAACAATAAAACATCCTTGAACTATTGCATCGGGGGCATTTTGATCTCCCACTCTTTTTTGCCTTTTCCAGTACTTCCTGGGATGCTAACTGTAGTTGTTGAAGTGGATTGTTTTGAATTGATGATGGAGTCTGCAATAGGCTTTCCAAACACTCAGTATTTCTTTTTGCTTCTTGAGTGCTTTCTTCATTTAAAAGTGTAGATGAAGTTAAAGACATGGTTAGCTGAAACAGACAAAATTTTGTTAAATAAAAATCCAATCATGATGAACTAATCTACTGGAAAATATTCTGTAGTATCCCATTTAACAAAAACATCTCATTAAACAAGGTATTTCCTACAACAGAAAGAATAATAAAATCATCTGATTCAAGAGATCCCAGGAGAGCATGAGATAAACAGCTGGAAAGAACCTGAGATCTGCATCTTTAATGCACAGATGCACATTCATTATCCCACTCACTCAAGTCCTGCAGAAGTCTACTGTTGTTAAGATCTGTGTCTAAAAGTTTATGAAAACACTGCTAAGCATGTTTACCTGGATGAGCAATCCCATTAGTCTCCAACATGACTACTGACAAGGAATTACATATAGAAATTTGTAAGACAGACATTAATTGTGCAAATTTAGATTTCCATCCTATAATTTATTGTGTGTGGGCCAACCAAATAACCTGAATGAAATTCCTCTTGGACAGAACTTTGTGAAATAGAAGAAATTTTCCAGGAGAAGAGCTTGAGGCTGAAAAGTAACAGAAGAGGGCTTTGGTGCCCCATGTACCAGATAGTAAGTGCTGATCCAGTCTAGACTTCCTTTTGTGTTTATTAGTACCACTGATGGATTTTTGTCAGGCTTTCTTCAAGACAGCTGTTGTCTCACCCTCCACAGCTGGCACAGAATTTTCACCATGTACTGTGACCAAGGCATGAGAAGCATAACCATATGCCCACCCCAGGGCAGACAGAATTAGTGCTGCTGTGCTGTCACAAGCCCCTCTGATCACTCGGGGTGCTCTCTCATCCCCAGAGCAGCCCCCAGCCAGAAGCCTGCACAGCCTGCAGTAGTTATAAACTGCCTTTGGCATTTTGTGCTGCATTACATGCAATGAAAGAAGTTATTCTCAGGATTTACTTTCAGCTAATTGAGGTTTACTTTTTCATGTCAAGGATCACACTTATGAAATCATGTAGCAAAGACATGTTTAACAAAAACAAACAAACAGTAAGTCCTGAAATGTAATCCAAAATGAAGCGTTTAAATAAAATCAAGTGTAATGTAATTGGAAAGTAACAAAACCAAAAAAACTAAGCTATGTTTCCAACACCAAATTAAAATCAATCCCAGAAAAAATTGTTATTTTCTGGTAAAATTAAATACTCATGCATGCTATGATACCTTCCCTCTACCTCTGCCAAGGTCAAACTTTTGAAAAGTCAGGGAAGTCTACTCAAATAAACACAAAAACCTAATATGCATACGAATTTGCTAGTGCAATTTGCTTTCAAGTTTCTCTGAGATAAAGCCAGTATACATCTCAGAGTAACCTGTGCTATTATCAAGTTTCCTCAAGAAGCAGAGGGCGAGAGGCCCTGGAATTGGACATGCATTCCCAGCCTGCAAACCGATTCTTTTCAGTGTAATGCCTTACACTGTGTGGCGCTCAGCGGTGACACCCCGAAGCACTTTTGTTATGGATACTGACAAGGGACACGCTGTGGCCTCCAAATAAAAGCTGTGCCCAGGCTGCAGCACTATACAGTACAGTACACTTCAGAAAATTACAGACTAGAATTTTAAGACCCAAATCCCATTTCAGACACATATTTTTAAGACTAACAACTCCGTCTGCACCTCATCTCCAAACCCGTAAATCCCTCCACACTCGAGCTGCATTTCTAGAACGCCTCAGAACGCCGGCCGGAGCATCTCGGGGGCCGTGCCCGGCTCACGGGGGCTGTACCCAGCTCTGTGCCCGGCTCACGAGGTCTGTGCCCAGCTCACGGGGGCTGTGCCCGGCTCACGGGGGCCGTGCCCGGCTCACGGGGGCCGTGCCCAGCTCTGTGCCCGGCTCACGGGGTCTGTGCCCAGCTCACGGGGGCCGTGCCCGGCTCACGGGGGCTGTACCCAGCTCTGTGCCCGGCTCACGGGGTCTGTGCCCGGCTCACGGGGTCCGTGCCCAGCTCTGTGCCCAGCTCACGGGGGCCGTGCCTGGCTCACGGGGTCTGTGCCCGGCTCACGGGGTCCGTGCCCAGCTCTGTGCCCGGCTCACGGGGGCCGTGCCTGGCTCACGGGGTCTGTGCCCAGCTCACGGGGGCCGTGCCTGGCTTACGGGGGCCGTGCCCAGCTCACGGGGTCTGTGCCCGGCTCACGGGGGCCGTGCCCAGCTCTGTGCCCAGCTCACGGGGTCTGTGCCCAGCTCTGTGCCCAGCTCACGGGGGCTGTGCCCAGCTCTGTGCCCAGCTCACGGGGGCTGTGCCCGGCTCACGGGGTCTGTGCCCAGCTCACGGGGGCCGTGCCCAGCTCACGGGGGCCGTGCCCAGCTCTGTGCCCAGCTCACGGGGTCTGTGCCCGGCTCACGGGGTCTGTGCCCAGCTCTGTGCCCAGCTCACGGGGTCTGTGCCCGGCTCACGGGGGCCGTGCCCAGCTCACGGGGTCTGTGCCCAGCTCACGGGGTCTGTGCCCGGCTCACGGGGGCTGCGCCCAGCTCTGTGCCCAGCTCACGGGGTCTGTGCCCGGCTCACGGGGGCCGTGCCCAGCTCACGGGGTGCCAGGGCCCCGCTCCGTCACCGGGCGAGGTGAGCGCAGCCGGCTCCGGCGCGCACCGCTCGCAGGCTCCGCGGGCGGACAGCGCCGGGCACGGCCGAGCCCCGCGTTACAGCGCGGCTCTGCCCCGTGTCTGAGCGGAGCCGTCCCGCCGCCCCAGCGGCACCGAGGCCCCCGCGGGCGCAAAGCCGCTTCCGACCGCGGGCCGCCCGAGCTCGCCCCGCGCACAGCGCGGCCCCTCGGCGCTCCCGACCGCGCTGCCTCCTCTCTCCGGCCGCCACCGCCGCGGCGGGGCGGGAGCGCCTCAGCCGCTCGCCGCCCGGCTCCGGCGCCCCGCACCGCCCGCTCCTCACCCGCCGCCCGGCGCGGCTCCCGCGCGGCCCTCGCAGGCCCCGGAACGAAAGTGGCGGGCTCGGCGGGCGCGGGGAGGCGGGAGCGGAAACAGCCCGGGGCTGAGCGCGGCTCCCCGCGCCGCCTCTGCCTGAGGGCTTTGCGCTGGCTGGGCGCCTCACGGCCCGCAGGGGCTGCTCCGTGTGAGGGTCACAAAAACCCGGCCAGAAACCACTGCCAGCTACCTGGGCAGGGGGAGAATCCGCCGCTCCGAGCCCGGCTCACGCCAGGTGTTCCCTGCCCTGCCCAGGGCTGCCCTCTCCGTGAGGCGGCACCGCCTGGAAGCCGCTGGGGTGTGAGGCTGCGGCTTTGGCTCCCCCGACAGCTCCAGGGAAGATAGAGCAGAATTTTTTTTTTTTTTTACTCTGTCGTTCCCCCGCACCCAGTAGTATCCTTAGAGCATATTTATTGACTGGAGGAATTGTGCTGGCGCATTCCTCTCCGCTTGTTTTTCATCTCTCTAAAGGGAATGTGGGATCTCTTCTGCGGGATTCCTTGGCCTGGTTGAGGATGCTGCTCCATTGTAGCATTTGCCCAATATCCAGCCTTCAGGGTGATTTCCGGCTAATCTGCAAGCTTCACAGAGCTGCCAGCTTGTAAACAAATTACTGAATAGTGAGAATAGTGGCAAATCTTTAACTTTTTCTTCAGTGTGCATTTTAGAAGTATATGAATAATAATAATACAACATTGTGGAGGCAATGGAAATTCTGTCTCTGTGATTCAGTGCCTTTACAAATCTTTCATGTATTTAGTCTGTTTCTTAGCATCTAAGGATATGTATTGTTTTGTGTATTGGAAGAGCCTACAGTGTACATCTTCCCTGTATACTAGAGTAATAGCTTTGATTGTCAGTTGTCTAAACATTTGCTAATATATGTTAACTAAGGGGTTTTTGAAAAGACATTTGGGTGAGAGCAATTCTTAATGTCTGCAAGCAGAAAAGACAAAAGCCTCTTTTTATTTTTGAAGAATTATTAAGGTCTCAAGATTTGGTGAATCCAGTTGACTATTGTTTCAACTGCCCATGTGCACGGAGAAGTGAACATGTAGGAAGCAGGTCCTGAGCAAAATCCTGTGAATGTAAATACTGAGAACTGAGTTTGAGTGTAGATTGTATTTCCAAGACCCTTGGGTACTGCGAAAGAACTTTGTAGAAATGGCACACCTTTAAGAGAGCAACCTCTCTGCTGTTATCTTTCTTTTTTCTTACACCTGTAGCATGGAAGAAAATGCCTGCATGCTGTACGGCAATTTTCTGTGGTTGGAACCGTGCTTGAGTGATGATCCTGAATCAAGTTTTGTTGATCAGGCTGTGCCATTACTAAGATAATAGAAAGTCCTGAGCCCTGAGGCAGAAGGTTCTGATGGGGATTAAAGGAGGAATAGTTGGTTCTGATTTTACCTTCCTCTTTTTTCTTACACTAGTAGGACTGCTAAGGAAATCTTTGACTATATATGCCTTCCTGGTTTCTTGAAGAATTCAGTATAATATGGTTACCAGTGATTTGTCAGGATGACATTCTTTTTGAAGAAGCAGAACATTCCCTTTGACCTGCCTACATTATTTGCAAGTATTAATTCACTCAAATACTTTAAACCAGAAAATTAGCTCTTTTGAGCTTTGAACCGGAATTTTTCCCCCCACTGGCACAAAGAAACAAAAAATGCTTGAAAAGATGTGGAATATTTCATTATAAAATTTAATTTTTTTTTAGAAGTAGATCCTAAGGAGGAGGAACCTGACATAAAAATGAAAAAAAAAATCAATTTAGAGTAATATCAAAGCAAAGTAATGAATTATTTACATTTTAAAATTGGGTTTGCTTAACCATTTCATCCTGAAGTCACAGCATCACAGAATGAGCATATGTGTGTTAATAGTTTCAGTGCAGTCAATAACATTTCACTGATTTACTTTTTAAAAGAAATCATTTGTCTTGCTGCCCTGCTATTAAAATAGAGCATGTCAATGTCCTTCAGGAATACCAGAGTGCTTAAAAACACACTGATTACTCTGTTTTAATGCTCACTGAGTTATTTCAGTGAAGTGATCAATTTGATGATCAAGTTCAAACAACTACCTTTGGTTCCAACAATTTGCTCAAATATTTAAGCTGCTAGTTTAAATTCTTTGCTAGATCATGGAACAGTTTCCTCCTGTGCTTCCAAGGCTGTTCTCAACAGATGGAAGGCATTACTGGCCTTTCCGAGAACTTAAATTGCACATGATTTTATTTGTCTCTTTAGAAACATAATGACCCTTTTTTCTTGAGTTATCTCCTTCTCTAACTAAAAAGTTATAGTCTTTTTAATTGCTCTGTGTCTGCTGTAATGGGCCTCCCTGGTCTATTTCTGTTTTTCTGGCTCTTTGAGATGATGTAATCCTCTCTGAATGCAGTACATGAGAGAGGAGGAAAGTACAGTCTGCATTGCAATGTTGCCAGAATTAGAGATTCTTCGATGTAAAATGCATTTATACTTGTAGTGCAATTCTTTATGCAAAATAAACTTCACATGTTACTTAATTTAATGTTTGCATTTCTATAATTTTCAGAAAAGGCTGTTTTTACAATATACTGGTTGCAGAAGGAGTGGATGAGTTGTATCTCCCTTGAGCTTTCCTTTTTGGTGGGTAAGTTACAAACAGATTATTCTTTTATTGATCTGTATGAACATCAGACCACACTCAGACTTGGAGAAGAGAATAAACACATGTCACTGAAGCACAGAAACATGCTCAAAAAGTCTTCTCATGCCAATATGGCCCTGTGTGTCTAGAGGAACATCTTACTGCCCTTGAGCACCTGGCAGGCATTGGCCCAGATAAGTGTTTGCAGCTTTCCTTCAGTCTGTGAGTGTGAAGTGTCAAGTTTATAATTTGAAAAAACCTAATAAACCTAATAAACTCATGCCCCAGTTCTGCCTGGGTTTTAGGAACATTTTGCTTAGGCCTAAACAAAGTGCAGGCAAAAGTCTATGCAAGCCTGTTCTCCACAGATTGTGGTGTTGATAAAGGAAAGATGAGTCAAAAATGGTAACTTTTAAGCCTTCCAATCCTTCCAGTGACATAGGGAGCCTATGCAGTGTGTTAAGTTTGGTGTATAGACACATTTAGGTGTAGATACAGATATATGTAAGGTCTTGCCTGCTTGGAGCTTTTAATCAATAATATCATCAATCCAGCCCCTACTTCTTGCTAAACCTGACTGAATTTTTAAGACATTGTCACTGAGGAAATTACTTACAGAGGGAACTCTGACTGAGGCACATGAGATGTGGAAAGCAAAGGAGTATTAAATATTTTTAGTTCTTTTTATGGTTAAGACAAGAAAAATCAAATTGTCTTTTTTTTTTTCCCCTTGGATACAGAAATGGAATTACACCTATCTCTGTATGTTTTTTAGGAGGTAAAAAAACCCAGCTTGAAAAACTATTTTGGTTTCTTTATATTTCTAAGAGTATCTTATAGTTACCTAAAGTATCTGTTTTACACCTTTGTTCCTTATCTGAAATATATGCACAGTTCATTGTATATTATCTTAGAGTGTATATTATCTTAGCTGAAAATACTGCTTATTTCATTGTGTGAAATATAATTAATTATGAAATAAGTATTTATAAATTTTTCAGGTTCCTAAATACTTTGCTGAGGAGTCAAATGGTAGAAATGTAGAGGTGAGTTTCTTTTGCTTGCATGTAAAAAAGCACACAGCATTCTGTCTTATGGATATGGTTTGACTTAGAAGTTAAAAAGATACCTCTGACAACAAACTAAGTCATTCAATTTTTGTAAGATTACATGAATTCAGATATATCGGGTAATGGAAATTCCAAATACTGTGTAAATATGATGACTGACTTCACCATAAAAAATGTAAATTCTAGGATTTTTTACTCAACTTCAGTGGGAATTAGCTATGGCTTTAAATACTTTAGAAAAGGCAGATGAGAAGTCACAGTCTTTTCCTGTGAATTCAGGCTTTTAAATAACAGTTGCAAAAAACCAGGGGTGATTTTGAGCTGTGTCTACTGTCTTTGTGGTCTGCTTCAGGCATGATCCCTGTTCCTGAGCAGCTTGGTGACTGCTAGGTCAGGGTGCCTTTCTCCTTGGGAAGGTCACTTTGGGGTAGAGTCAGAATTCAAGGTTCTGTGAGAGGCCAAGGTTCTACATTGTTTTATAATTTCAACTTGAACTGGAAATGTATAAGCTTTCATTAAAATTTATCTTTAGTATGAAAATGCTTGATGTAATAAAATACAGACTAGATAACTATACCTACTTAGAATATACATTAAACCATAAGTAATTTATTTTACAAAAAAATTGAATTGTCAATATAAAAATATTTTTCAAATTTCATAGTTAGCTATCAAAAAATACTTCCTTTATGCTATAGGATCAGTAGCATGATATTGGTACAGAAATATCTATAATATTGTCTGTGAAATTTTGACTTTTCATCTTTTTTGCATATTAAGTTGCTATTATTAATAAAATTATTTTATTAGTTTTTGCAAATTAATCTATCATCAAATAATATTACACCGATTGAATTTCACAATCTGTGTTGAAATAGGTACTAGATGATAAGACTTAAGAATATGGTAAATATTCTGAGTGAATTTTGACTGCCTCACATTTATAAATGAAATAAACCCAATTCCTGTTATTTGTCCAAGTCCAGATACTGGCAAACTGATAAAAACAAGTTGTGTAGAGTGAAGGATAGATACAAAATTTAGGTGCTTGAGCTGCCTTAATAAACTCTATGTCTGAACACTGAACTGTTGATAGCACTTGCCACAAAACATGTGTGGGTAAATGCAACATTTTTGAGGAAAAGTGTTAAAAGCACATCCAGAAGCATGCTGGTTGAAGTTGATAATGTGCAGAAGTAATCACTAGTCCTGCAAAATATTAAATGTCTTTTTTTTTCCCCCCCGTAAAACCCAATGTAGAGCTTACTGCTGGCACTGGGTAAAAGTCTTACATGAGTTTATAATCTACAC